TGAGTGTATTGCCTGCATGTATGTAAGTGCACCCGTGTCCTGCAATGCCTGGGGAGGTCAGAAGAGGTTGTAGGATTTCCCCTGTAACTGGAGTTACAGAGGATTGTTAGCCATCACCATGTGGTGGCTAATACTAAAACCCAGGTCCTCTGCAAAAGCAACCAATGCTCTTAAGCACTGAACCAACTCTCCTGCCCTGTGACATGCTCTCTCCAGCCCCTCAAGTATTTTTCTTGAAACCTTTTTTACCACATCCCTACCATGTATATATTACATATTCACATGTATTTTTCATATTCCTTAGATACAGAATTATCTATTCCTCTATTTAAGAAGTCATTGAAATGTGGTAAAGTATCTGCCACAGAGGCAAGAGGACCTGAGTTCAGATCCCCAGCACCCAAGTAAAAAAGCCAAGTGTAGCTGGGCGTAGTGGTGCATGCCTTTAATCCCAGCACTTGGGAGGCAGAGGCAGGCAGATCTCTGTGAGTTCAAGGCCACCTTGGTCTACATAGTGAGTTCCAGGACAGCTGTAAAAAAAAAAAAAAAAAAAAAAAAAAAAAAAAAAGACCAAAAAAAACCAACCACCCAAACATTTATATTTGGTTGTTTTGGGGGGCCGTGTGTGTGTGTGTGTGTGTGTTGTTGAGGCAGAGTCTCCCTGTAGCCCCAGCTGGCCTGAAACTCTATGTAGCCCAGGCTGGCCTCGGACTTACCAGGATTGCCTGCCTCTGTTCTCCCAAGTGTTGGGATTAAAGGCCTGTGCCACCATGCCCAGTTTGAAGATTTTTTTTGTGTGTGTGTGTTTTTGTGTGTGTGAAGAGATGTTGGGAGGAGGAGGGGAGTGCCCATGGAAGCCAGAAGAGGGTGTTGGATCCCTTGGAGCTGGAGTTACAGGCAGTCTAAACTTGTGTCCTCTGGAAAAGGAGCCAGTGCTCTTAAGCCCTGAGACATCTTTCCAACCCCTTAATATTTTTTATTTTATTACACTTATTGTGTGTGTGTGTGTGTGTGTGAAGGTCAGAGGACAATTTGCAGAAGTCTGTTCTCTCCTTCGACCCTGTGGGTACCAGAGGATTGAACTCAGGTCATCAGATTTGGCAGCAAGCACCTTCAGCCACTGAGCCATCTCACCAGCCGCAGAGATTATTTTATGCTACCAGTTTATAGACTAGGAAACTGAGTTACAGAAAAAGTATGTGGTGTGGTAAAGAAATAAACTATAGAATCTGTTTTACACACAGAATGTCCTTTGGGGGCTGGTTAGATGGCTTAGCAGTTAGAACACTGGCTGTTCTTCCAAAGGATCCATATTCAGTTCCCAGAATCCACATAGTGGCTAACACCTGTCCTTACCTCCAGTTCCAGAAGATTTTCAGTCCCCTTCTGACCTCTGCAGGCACTGGGCACACATATAATGCACTGACATGCAGGGAAACCCCTCCACTTCATTGGGCCAACCACTAGACTCAAAATCATTGTTTTATTTTGTTAATTTTTTGAGATAGGGTCTCATTATGTATCCCTGACTGGTCTGGAACCCAGACCAGACTGGCCTCCATCTCAGGGAAATCTTCCTGCCTCTACCTCCTGAGTGCTGGGATTAAAGGAGTGTGCCACCTCACCCACCTTTGTTTGATTTCATTGAAACTGCATCCCATGTAGGCCAGACTGGCTTTAACCTCATTATTGTAGCTGAGGCTGACCCTAAACTCCTGGTCCTCTTGCCTCTGCCTCCACAGTTCTGGCATTACAGGCATGTGCCACACTGGCTTCAAAGCAAATCTAAGCAATCCAAGCTCAGTTCCCCAAAGCCAACTAGTCAAAAATGGCCTCTTGGCCAGACGTGGTGTTATAAGTCTGTAATCCCATCACTTGGGAGGTAGAGGCAGGAGGAACAGGACTTCAAGGAAAACGTCCATTATGTATTGAGTTCAAGACCAGCCTAGGCTACATGAAGCCTTGTCTCAAGAAAACTATGGAACCTGCAGAGGATGGCTTATTGATTGAGAGCATTGGCTGCTTTTACAGAGGACCTGGGTTCGGTTCCTAGCACCCATATGGTAGCTAACAACCATCTGTACCTCCAGTTCCAGGGGATCTCTCACTCTCTTCTGATCTCCTAGGGCATTGCACGACACAGGTGCACCTACCTACATGTAGGCATTACATCTATACACATTAAATAAAAATATTTAGGGGCTGGAGAGATGGCTCAGCGGTTAAGAACACTGGTTGTTCTTGCAGAAGACCCAGGTTCAAATCCCAGGACCCACATGGCAGCTAGCAACTGTCCATAACTCCAGTCCCAGGGGACAGCCTCTTCTGATCTCCACGGGCATTGGATGACATGGGTGCACTTACCTACACGCAGGCAATACACACATACACATAAAATAAAAATAATAAATAAATTTAAAAAAATATTTAAAGAATAAATAAAAAAATTTAAAATAGAAGCATGCCAGATGTGATGGCACATGCCTTTAATCACAGCACTTGGGAGGCAAAGTAAAGTAGATCTCTGCGAGTTCAAGGCCAGCCTGATCACATAGTGAGTTCCAGGGAGTGCCTGTCTCAAAAAAAAAAAGTTTAACTATGTTGGGGTCAGCGCAGGATGATGGCTCAGTGAGTGAAAAGCTGAGTTCAATCCCCCAAACCCACTTGGTAGGACAGAACCAACTCCTGGAAGTTATTCTCTGAACCTCCATGCATACCCTCCCTCCCATAAATAAATAAAAATGAGTAAAATTCCGGCCCCCTTTCCCACTCCTGCAACCTCTTCAATGCCACCCGTGGACTGTCCCAAGGCAACTCTGAGATCCAGGCCTCCCTTCACCTGTCCCTTCACCTGGACACTCTCCAAACCCTCACCCTCCACCCTTCTGCCTCTAAAGGCCTCGCCCCTTAGGTCCAGACACGCCTCTTCAGATGGTTGTGTTTCTGGCCACGCCCCTACTGGAGTCCCTGTTTCCTCGCTCCCAGCCCAACCCTTTAGTCTTTGGCCCCGCCCCCTGTCCGGCCCCGCCCTGCAGTACCTGCTCCATGGCCCCGCCCCTCACTTCAAGGCTCCGCCTCCCGCTCGCCGGCCCCTTCCCTGACCCCCGGCCTCGCCCCACGCTCCCAGGCCCCTCACTCCCTGGCCCCGCCCCCTGACCCAGCGCTGCAGTACTTTCTCCTCAGAGGCCGGGTCTCTCGCTCGCCCGCCACGCCCCTAGCTCCTAATTCGGTCCCCGGCCCCTGCGCTGCAGCGCTCCCAGGTCACGCCCTTCGCCCCCTGGCCCCGCCACCTGAGCCCCCATTGCACTGCATTCTCCTCCGAGGCCCCGCCCCTTTCCCTAGGCCCCGCCCCCGGCTCCGGAGCTGCAGCACCGTCTCCTCAGAGGCCCCGCCCCTCAGTCCATGGTCCCTCCCCTCGCTCTCTGGCCCCGCCCCCTGGCCTCGCGTTGCCTTGCCTTCTCCCCGGCCCCGCCCGCCCTCGCGGTGTGGAGCAGAGGGCGGTGGCGGCTGCAGGAGCAGCCGGGGAGGTGGAGGCGGCCAGGAGGATGGCGGCGGCGTCGTGGGCGCGGCGGAGATGAGCGCCCGTGGCCCCAGGCCCAGGGCGGCGCGGCCGGAGTGGGCGGGGGTCCCGATGCAGGCCCGAGGGGGGCCATGGGGCAGGTCCTGCCGGTTTTCGCCCACTGCAGTGAGTATGGGGAGACTCGGGCCTGGTGTGTGGCCCAGAAGCCCAAGTGCGGTCCTCTATGGGTCTCCGTCCTCTCCACGCTGGGCCCGCAGGATGAAGGAGGCGAAGGAGACAAAGGAATCCCTCCCCTCCCCCCGCGCTTTGGCGGCATCTGGGGGCAGCCTGACCCCGAGGACCCGGTGAAACGGGGCGAGGCTGGGGGTCCCTACGATGGAGAGCTGGGCGCCAGGCTAGGTCGCCCCGCCCAGCAGGAGACGCAGCAGGCGCTTGGGGAGCTGTCCCTGGGCCCTGGTGCTGGCCTGAGCAGTCTGAGAGAGAGGTTGACTTAAAGAGGTAGAGAATAAAAGGATCTGACTCCCCCTAGCACCCATTTTTGCATCTTACCCTCATGATCTACCCAGAGAGGCAGTCTTCACCTCACCCTAGATATCCAACCCCCTGTCCCTAGAAAACAGCCATCCCTGGGTCGGTGCCAAGACTTGTGGGTCTTTAGCGAGTTTTCCACTCATTAGTGGTGAACTCTGAGGGAGACCCCACTCCTTGATCAGGCCTCTGGATGCCCAGGTGAGAAAATTCGAAAGTGCAACGGGGGAGGGGTTGTCCAGTTTAAATTTCCGAAGGATCTTGAGGCTCTCCTGTATGCACAGCCAAGCCCCATGCTAGCTCTGAGGGGCTGGCCTCCCAGTTACAAACCCCTGGTCTGATTCGCCTCATCTCTGAGCCTAGACTTCTGACAGGCCGTGTTTATCATCGTGCAACCCACACAGGGTGGTTCTGACAGCTGGGGATGCCAACGCTAGCAGATCTAGCCACTTGCATGTCTTGGGTATCCAGAAGCCTAAGTTCTAAGAATGTGTGATTTGGACATTTTTAGAGTTTCATTCTCCCCTCCCAGCATTCCAAGATCTTGTCCTTAGCTAGGATGACAAGGGGGGGGTTCTCTGCAGGCCTGTCCCCAGCCTCTACTTCTTGTGTCCCCATCTCTCCTTCATTTCCCCTCCACACCCCTTACAATCACTTTCCTTCACTCATACCTTCAAACATATCTTCCTCACATATGCTAGGCACAGTGCCTAACCCAGGGACTTTGCACTGACCTTCCCCTTTGCCTGGAAGACTCTTCCCTAGGCATCTGTATGACTTCCTTGCTTCAGGACTGAACTCAGATGCCAATGGAGAAGCCTTAGTGACTACCCTATCTCAACTAGCACTCTCAGATTCCCTTCCCCTGCTTTATGGATGCATTGTCATGTATTTATTTATTCATTGCCCATCTCTTCCATGGGGTATGAACTTTTAAAGGCTAAGGGACTTTTGTCTAATTTATTCATAACTGTGACCCTCTGGGGCCCAGAACAGTGCCTGGCACATAAAATGTGCTCAGTAGATGTTTGTTGAAAGAACTGAAACATTCCAAGGCTCCTAATATAAAGACTCTAAGATTAAGGCTCTTAGATAAGAACTTCTCTTCTTTCTCTTTTAGACGGGGTCTTATGTAGCTCAGGCTGGCCTGGAACTCAGTATATAGCAATCGTAGGATAACCTTGACTTTCTGATTCTCCTACCTCCACTTCTTTGATGTGGAGGTACCACATCATGCACCACCACACACCCGTTTGTGCAGTGTTGGGGATTAAACCCCGGGGTTTTGTGCACAGTAGGCAAGGATTCAACCTCATGAGCACCTAGCTAAATACCCAGTTGTAGATAGGAACATCTAGAATTTCAAAGACTCCACCACTCCACCACTCCACTCTTCTTCTTCTTCCTCCTCCTCTTCTTCCTCCTCTTCCTGCTCCTCCTCCTTCTGTTATGGGGATTAATTGAACCTAAGGCTTTGTGCATCCTGGGCAAGTGCTCTACTCCTGAGCTATATTCCAGCACGCCCCCCCCTGCCTTTTTTAACATTCTGAAACAATCTCGCTAAGTTTTTGCCCAAGCAGACCTTGAACTTGTAATCCTCCTGCTTCACTCTCCTTACTACCTGGGATTATGAGCCTGTGCCACCAGGCCTGTCAACACTTGATATGCCCCTAAGGTTTTACTTTCTGTATACAGAATGTTAAGGGTCCTGTGATTCAAGTATTCTAAGATTCAATTAGTTCCAACCATCCAGGGCTCCAGTACTGGTACGCTTCTGTTATTGTTTTTTAAAGTTTTTCACATTTGATTTTGTGTGAATATGTATGTGTATGTGTGTAGGCCTGCACATGCCATGATGTCTGTGTGGAGGTCAGAGAGAGGTCAACTTTCAAAAGTACACTCTCTCCTTTCATGTGGGTCCCAGGAACTGAACTTAGGTCATGAGGCTTGGTGGCAAGTGTCTTTAACCACTGAACCATCTCTTCCATCCCATTTCTATGATTTTAGACTGTCTAAACTTTTTTTTTTTTTTGGTCTTTTTGAGGCAGGGTCTCCCTGTAGCCCCAGCTGTCCTGGAACTCACTATGTAGACCAGGCTGGCCTTGGACTCACAGAGATCCGCCTGCCTCTGCCTCCCCAGGGCTGGGATTAAAGGCGTGCGCCACCACGCCTGACTAAGAGACTTCAATTTGTTCCCCTTGCAGAAGAAGCTCCATCTACAGCCTCTTCTACCCCCGATTCCACAGAAGGTAAGGTGGAGAGATGGGGACTTGAAGGGGTTTTATGACTGGATAGCTCAGGGTTTTGCTTAAAGAGGCTGAAGGCTCTTCTCTGCACTGCAGGAGGGAATGACGACTCAGATTTTCGGGAGTTGCACACAGCCCGGGAATTCTCAGAGGACGATGAGGAGGAGACCACATCGCAGGACTGGGGTACCCCCAGGGAGCTGACCTTTTCCTACATTGCCTTTGATGGCATTGTGGGCTCTGGGGGTCGTAGGGACTCAGTTGCCCGGCGCCCTCGGCCCCAGGGTCGCTCTGTTTCAGAACCCCGAGACCCACCCCCACAGTCCGGCCTAGGGGACAGTTTAGAGAGCATCCCTAGCCTTAGCCAGTCCCCAGAGCCTGGACGGCACGGCGACCCAGATCCCATGCCTGCAACTGAGCATCCCCTGGAGGACCTGAGGCTGAGGCTGGACCAGCTGGGCTGGGCTGCCCAGAGTGCAGGATCTGGGGAGGATTCAGCCACCAGCAGCTCCACCCCACTGGAAACTGAGGAAACTGATGGATTGGAGGCGAGCCAGGCTAGAGAAGGTGAGACATTATAGGGGTACCAGGGATGGGTTGTGACAGGGGACATCTAAGAAGAAAGCTCATGGCCTTCTCTCTCTACTGTACCAGAACTGAACCTGCAACTCCAACTTGCTCAGTCTTTGTATCTGCAACATGAAGTCCTGACTCCTCAGCCTAGCCCCAGCTCAGGGGCCCCTCAGGCTCATACACCATCCCCACCACGATCTCAAGATTCGAACTCTGGTCCTGATGAGGCTTTGCTGGATGAGGAGGAAGAGCATTGGAGGCCACTGGCACAGGAGCCAATCACAGGACAGTGCCTGGGTAGCACAGACCAATCAGAATTCACACTGCAGCTATGCCCTCTAGGTAAGGACTTGGGACCAGGGCCTCCATTGGGCCCTGTAGTTGACAGTAAACAGGCAGGCAAAAGGTGGGAAGATTTAAATTTAAAGGCATCAGCCTGGCACAGGAACCAAGGACAGTAGAGAAGGGGGTCCTTTTAAAATGATGCCCTTTGGCCCTGGGCCTGGTGGTACATGCCTTTAATCCCAGTACTCCAGAGGCAGGCAGATCTCTCCAAGATTGAGTCCAGACTGGTCTCCATAGCAAGTTCCAGGTCAGCTGGGGCTACAGGGAGACCCTATTGATCCCAATATTCAGAAAGCAGAGGCAGGAGGATCTCTGTGAGCTCCAAGCTAGCCTAGTCTACATTGAGAGTCTCAGACCATTTGGTGCCAAATAGAGAGACCCTGTTTCAAAAACAAAATCCTTTGCTGGGTGTGGTGGTGCACGCCTTTAATCCCAGCACTCGGGAGGCAGAAATAGGTGGATCTCTGTGAGTTCAAGGCCAGTCTGTTCTACATAGTGAGTTCCAGGACAGCTGGGGCTATAGGGAGACCCTGGTCTCAAAAAAGACCAAAAAAAACAAAAAACAAAATCCTTTGAGACTCCTGTGGAATCTGGTGTTCCCCTCCTGCAACATACACACACACACACACACACACACACACACACACACACACACACAGGACTAAGCCCAAAACCTTGAACAAGCTATGCAAATGCTCTACCATTGCAACACCCCCCTCTCAATTCTCTTTTCACTTTTTGAGAGAGGGTCAAAGTAAGTGGCCCAGGTTAGCCTTGAAGTCTCCATCTACCTACCTCAGCCTCCAAAGTAGCTGGGATTACAAACCTTCAAGCCACCAGGCCCTGCTCCCTATGGGTCTTTGTATATAATTCCCCACCCACAGAAAAAATTAGCATTCCTTGGGGCTGATGGCAGAAAAGTTAATACTCCCTCATTGGAATGCTCTCTCTATAAACAGATTGGAAAGAAACTTCTTTCCTCAATGTGCTGATGGGACTCTCCCTTTCTTTCTTTCTTTCTTTCTTTCTTTCTTTCTTTCTTTCTTAAAAAAACTTTTTTGATTTATGTATTTTTCTTTTATGTATTTGAATGTTTTGCCTGCATGCATGTAAGTGCACCCATGTTGTACAATGCCCACAGAGGCCAGAAGAGGGTGTTGGAGTCATGGAAGGTTGTTAGCTGCCATGTGGATGCTGGGAACCAAACCTGGGTTATCTGCAAGAGCAGCCAGTGCTCTTAACCTCTGAGACATCACTCCAGCCCTCACCCTTTTTTTTTTCAGGACAAGGTCTCACTAGGTAGGCCTGGCTGGAATTTGATAGGTAAACCACGCTGACCTTGATCTCACAGATCCACCTGCTGGCATGTGCTGGGCTTTTTTTAAAAATTATTTTTATTTTATTTTATGTGTATGAGTGTGTTGCTTGCAGTTATGTAAGTGCATCCATGTCATGCAATGCCCATGAAGGTCAGAAGAGTGTGTCAGATCTGGAGTTATGGACAGTTGTCAGCTGCCACGTGGGTGCTGGGAATCAAACCTGGGTCTTCTGCATTAACAGCCTGTGCCATCGCTCCTGCCCCCCCCCTTTTTTTTTGGTCTTTTTGAGACAGAGTCTTCCTGTTGCCCCAGCTGTCCTGGAACTCACTATGTAGACCAGGCTGGCCTTGAACTCACAGAGATCCGCCTGCCTCTGCCTCCCAAGTGCTGGGATTAAAGGCATGCGCCACCACGCCCAGCTCCCACCCCCTTTTTAAAAATGTTTAATGTGTGTGTGTGTGTGTGTGTGCACAAACCACATCCTACTTGTGGAGGTCAGAGGACACCTTTCTGGAGTCAGTTCTCACCTTTCACTGTGTTGAGGCAGGGGCTGTCTAGTTTCTTCTGCTGCACGTGTACAGTAGGCTAGCTAGCCCAAGAACTTCCAGAAGATCCTCCAGTGTCTGCCACCCATCTCACCAGAGAAGAGCTGGGATTAGAGATACCCACCACCAAATCCCACTTTTTTTTTTTTTTTTTTGGTCTTTTTGAGACAGGGTCTCCTTGTAGCCCCAACTGGCCTGTAACTCACTATGTAGATCATGCTGGCCTTGAACTCACAGAGTTCCGCCTGCCTCTGCCTCCTGAGTGCTGGGATTAAAGGCCTGCACCACCATGCCCAGCTCCAAATCCCACTTTTTATGTGAGTTCCAAGGATAGAACTCAGAACATCAGGTTCCTGCTGCCCATGCTCTTCCCGATGAGCCATCTTCCTGGCTGCCCATGGGGCTTTAAAAATCTTTACTCTTGGGGCTGGAGCGATGGCTCAGTGGTTAAGAGCACTGGCTGCTCTTGCAGAGGACCTGGGTTTGCATCCCAGCACCCACATGCAGCTAACAACCTTCTGTAACTCCAGTTCCAGGGAACCTGAGGCCCTCCCCTCACCTCTACAGGCATTGTACACATGTGGTACACTTAAATACATGCAGGTAAAACACCCATATTCATAAAATTTAAAAAAATGAATGAATGAATAAAATACTTTACTTTTGTCAAGAGTGGTGGTGCATGCTTTTAATCCCAGCACTTGGGACACAGAGGCAGGTGGATCTCTGTGAGTTCAAGGCCAGCCTGGTCCACATGGTGAATTCCAGGAAAGCCAAGGCTATATAGTGAGACTCTTTTAAAAATTTTATTTACTATTTTTATTTTATATGTTTGTGTGTATTGCCTGCATGTAAGAAAGTGCACCTATGTCGTGCAATGCCCACAGAAGACAGAAGAGGTTGTCGGATCCCCTGGAACTGGAACTGGAGTTACGGACAGTTGTTAGCTGCTATGTGGGTGCTAGGATTCGAACCAGGGTCTTCTGCAAGAACCATCTTAACTGCTGAGCTATCTCTCTAGCCCCAAGAGACTCTGTCTTTAAAAACAAATAAAAAGAAACACTTTACTCTTGCCAAGTGTGGTGGCGCTCACCTGTAATCCAGCATTTGGGAGGCAGAGGCTGTCAGATCAGGGGTTCAAGTTCAGCAGGGGCTACCTAGCAAGTTCCTTTTAGCATATCTTGGTGACCTACATCTTTAATCCTAGCTCTTGGGGAGGCTGAGGTTGGAGGAGGGGCAGGTGTCAAGGCCAGTAGAGTTACATGAGACCATATGCCAACAAAACAAACAAAACAAAAACCCCAAAGACAAAAATTTGTCTATTTTCCCCTGATTGTATGCATCGGTCATTTGCAAACAGAGCTAACCTTAGTTCAAAAAGCACTCTGTCTCTAGGAACCGCCAAGAGTAGGTTAAAGACATCTCCTTGGCTGTTTACAAAGTTCCAGGTTTGGAAGAGTCCCCACCTCTCTGGACAGGGATTGGTTGGGTACAAAGTGGCCCCTCCCTTCTGCTCTCTCCCTCTGGTCCCACTAAAGTGAGCAAAATCCTTGGAAACCACCGTTCGCAGCCTCTCTCTCCCAGCCAAGATGGGGAGCAAAGGTGGGAATGTGGGGCGTCCTGGGACTGGATTGGGGTGGTCAGCAGAGAGGGGTTTCAGATTTATCCACTTCTCCTTGCAATCCGGGGCATGGTTTCCTCGGGGTCCTTGGCTGCCCAGAGATACATGATGGGACTAGGGGGAGTTCTCAGGGGGTGTCTGGGAAGGGATGTTTAGGGACATGGGGGTCCCCACTCCTCCAAGCCATTGCTTTGGAGCCCAGGAGCAGGGAGGTCCCCTCCCCCAGCCTCATGCCCTAGCTTAGGCGCTGTCACTCAGGGCCTGGATGTGCCAGCACAGCTGCGGGGAGGCCCCCTCCCCCCAGCGTGCCTAAACTTAGACCCCGCCTCAGGCGACCTGGTCCCTCCCCCCAACACTGGCATTTGGCTAGGGAGTCAGCGTGGGAGGGACCCACATTAGGGAAAGAAAGGGACTCGCCTCTTTTTACAGATGAATTGGAAGATATGTACCTGGGGCACACCGAAGTGCGAAGTGTGAGGGTCAGACTCTGAGAGGGAGCAGCAGAGGGACTGGTCTTTTGGATAGGTCATTTTGACCGAAGTAAGGGAGGGAACATGTGAGGGTCTGGAAAGGAAATGGAAGGATGCTGAGGTTGTGGTTTGGGGCTCTAGTGGGTGCGGTTTCTTGGGAGGGCTGAGGAGGTTTAGATGGGTAAGGGGAAGCGTCAGAGGCAGGAGGTCACTCGTCAGGGGCTCAGTCTGGGCTTAGGAAGTGAACTGACTGTCTGTGGACCGGATCATTTGTCTGTGTTTAGGGTTCAGAAAGGCATGTAGTGTTAACCACACATTTAAGACTTTGAAAAATGTGTTGGTAACCAGGTGTGGTGACATAGCCCTGTAATCCCAGCACTCAGGAGGCAGAGGCAGGTGGATCTCTGTGAGTTCAAGGCCAGTCCCGGCTGCATAGTGAGTTCCAGGTCAGCCAGGGTTACATAGTGAGACCCTGTCTCCAAACAAAAACAAAAATAAAAACAAAATAACCCCACAATGGGTCCACTGAAGTGATTCTCTCAGGGGAATCTGTTTCAGAAATAAAAGCTCAAGGAGGTGACAGTATCTGCAGGAAAAGAAGCTACTTGCTACACTGTTGGCCATGGAGGGGCAGAAAACAAGTGAACACCTAGCACTGAGTACAAGGTTGAATAAGATGAAGGATGTCACAGCCACAGCACAAATGACCATGTAACCCTGCAGGGATGGCTCAGTGGTTAAGGCTGCTCTTGCAGAGGACCTGGGTTCCCAGCACCCACATGGCGGCTAACAACCATCCAAAACTCCAGTTCTGGTTTGCTCCTCAGTACTTCAGCACTCAGGAGGAGGAAGCAGGAGATGGCCTTAAGTTTGAGACCAGTCTGGGCTACAGAGTGAGACTCATTCTGAAAAAGAAAGAATAAATTAAGAAGTTGAGCATGGGGGCTGAGGAGATGGCTCAGCAGTTAAAAGCACTGACTGCTCTACCTGGGTTCAGTTCCCAGCACCCACATGGTGGCTAACAACAGTCAGTAACTTCAGTTCCAGAGATTTGATACCCTCTTCTGGCCTCCATAGGCATTGCACACAGGGTGCATTTATGTACAGGCAAAATACTCATATACATGGAAGGAAAGAAAGAGGGAGGGAGAGAGGGAGGGAAGGAGGGAGGGAGGGAGGGAGGGAGAAAGAAAGACAGAAAGACATACAGACACTGGGCACAGCAGAGCATACTTGTAATCCCAGCACCCAGTAGACTGAGACAGGATAATCATGAGTTAGAGGCCAGCCTGGCTATATAGGGAGTTCAATAAGGAGTTCAAAGTCAGCCTTAGCTACACAGTGAGACAAAAAAGAGGTTGCCAGGCAGATTCACATGCAGCCCAATGTCTCCCTCTCCACAGTGGCAGACCTGCTGTACTGGAAGGATACCAGGACGTCAGGAGCGGTCTTCACGGGCCTCATGGTCTCCCTCCTCTGCCTCCTGCACTTTAGCATCGTGTCTGTGGCTGCATATGTGGCCCTGCTGGGGCTCTGCGCCACCATCTCTCTCAGGGTTTACCGCAAAGTGCTGCAGGCTGTGCACCGGGGCGATGGCACCAACCCCTTCCAGTGAGGACCCTGGACCCCTGTCCCAGACCCGCTGATTATTCATCTGACCACTCTCTAATCATGACTCCCTTAACCCTGATTTTAGATTGCTTCATCCCTGTCCCTTTTCCTAACCCTAAACTTGGGTGAATCTTCAGCCCTAACTCTGATTTACCCAAGTCCCATTCTTGCCCTTCTAAAAAAGCCACTTCCAGTACCCCGCCAAGTCTCAACCCCAACCACTTCCTAGATCACCCCACCCTCCATTAATCCCACTAGGGCCTACCTGGATGTGGACCTGACACTGACTCAGGAGCAGACAGAGCGTTTGTCCCAGCAGATTGCTTCTCACGTGGTCTCCACAGCCACACAGCTGCGACATTTCTTCCTGGTGGAAGACTTGGTGGATTCTCTCAAGGTGCCCCCCCAACTCCCGACCAGCTCCTGGGTTCCCAAACCTCTCCCTTTGGGGTATGGGACAAGTTCATAGCCTGCAGACCCTTCTGACCTTGACCCTCATCCCCTTCATCCCCCCAGCTGGCTCTTTTCTTCTACATCTTGACTTTTGTGGGTGCCGTCTTCAATGGCTTGACTCTTCTCATCCTGGGTGAGTTGGGAAGGCTGTGGGGGGCAGGGTGGGGAAGTGGATTGTTGGGTCTGTTGGGGGACAGGTTCCCCATGTTGCTGTCTGTCTTCTGGGACAGCCTGACATCCATCTCTGTATCCCCAGGAGTGATTGCTTTGTTCACTGTCCCTCTTCTGTACAGACAACACCAGGTGGGTACAGCAAGCGTGGAGGCCAAAAACGGATGGTGTGACAGCGTCTCTTCTATAGTCAGGGTTTCCCCAGACAGATCATGTCAGGCACACTCAGGTGTTCTGGCTGCTGCCTTACCTCATCAGAACTAAACTTAGAAACCCAGAGTGGTGGCTCATGCTTGTAATTCCAGCACCCAGGAAGGTGGGGCAGGAGAATAGCTATGAGTTTGAGACCAGTTGCCTAGAATCCACCCATGAGAGTCTGGGGGCCGTGGCTCTGCGGTAAAGTATCTTTTGTGCACAAGGGCCTCTAGCACCACCAAACGATAAAGTAGAATAAAATTCATATGAAACTAATATTAATACATCACTCCCCACTTAGAGAATGATCCAAGCTACTGACCCTACAACTCAAACCTCTGAGTTCCAAGGGGATTTGTGGGTGGGTTCTCTCACCCATGTAATAACATAGTGGCTGAGGCAGGAGGATCTCTGTAAATTCAAGTACAGCTTGGGCTATATAGCAAAGACCTGTCTCAAAAAACGGGGTGGTGTGGCTAAGAATATAGCTCAGTTGGTAGAGTGCTTACCTATCATGCATGAAGCCCTGGTTCCATCCCCAGCACTGCATAAAATCCAGTCTGGTGGTACATGTCTGTAATTCCAGCATGTGGGAGGTGAAGGCAGCAGCAGAAGTTCAAGGCCACTCTCAGCTACATAGCAAGTGTGAGAGAGGCCAGCCTGGGCTACATGAGACTCTGTCTCAACAATGCCAAAAGGCAGGAGGGGGTGTGTATTAACTTTCATAGTTAAAACTGGAGGGTGGGCCACACTCCAGCTTCTGATTTGGAGATGAACTAACAGAACCAGTTGCAATTTCTTTCGTTGCCTCTTTGGTCTCGACAGGCCCAGATTGACCAGTATGTGGGGTTGGTGACTAATCAGTTGAGCCACATCAAAGCTAAGTAAGTGCCTGGGAAGATGATGGGAGTGGGAACAGGAGCTCGCACCATTTTTGTTTTGTGTTCTACACTCCCCATCCCCAAGTCCCCCGGGGCACAAAGTCCCCTTCTCAAAGTAGGCCAACAGGTGGAGGTCAGGGGCTGGCTTTGGATGTTAAGCTTCCTCTATCTCTATCTCTTGCCACACCTGATGATCGTAAACTTTGCTCCTTCAGGATCCGAGCTAAGATTCCAGGGACCGGAGCCCTAGCCTCAGCAGCATCTGCAGTCTCCGGATCCAAAGCCAAAGCTGAATGAGAGGGGGTGTCTCAGCCTGAGGGACGCCTGCCCCCACTCCAGCAGCCCTCTGTTCCCCTTCAGTTCCGATCCATCCACATCCTCTCCCACTCTTGGCCGAGACATTTCCCTGAGTATAAGGATCATTCCCACAAGGGAATTTGCAAACAACAACAACAAACGCCCCCGAGGCTCCTGGACTACATTTCCCAAGAGGCTCTGCTCGAAGAGTCCAGGAAAGACTAGGCTCTTTGACCGCGAAGCCTGCTGGGATTTGTAGTTAAGCAGACAGGGCAACGCCCTGCACTTCTGCGACTCGGCCGCTGGAGGCGCTGTGAGGGGTTGGCGTCTCAGATGCCCCCAGCCCCAATGCTGGGGTTTTGCATGGGGCCCAGGCGAGCCCTGAGCTTGGATTTACACTGTAATAAAGACTCCGGTGGAAAATCCAAGGCCTTCTGTGTTTTGAGGCCCCTCCAACTTCACCTTCCTACACCGAAAAGCATTTTTTAGAAATGTGGCGGGAAGGCAGGTGTACGCCTTTAGTCCTAAAACTTAAGAGGCAGAGGGAGGCAGATCTTAGGGAGGCCAGCCTGGTCTACACCTCTTTATTCCCAGCACCGGGGAGGCAGAAGCAGTCAGATCTCTGAGTATGAGGCCAGCCTGGTCCATAAATCGAATTCCAGGCCAGCTAGAGTTACACAGTGAAACCCTATCTCAAAACAAACAAGAAAAAAGCAAATCTTTGGGGGCTGGAGAGATGGCTCAGCAATTAAAAACACGCTGCTCTTGCAGAGGACCCGAGTTTCAGAGTTTCAGTCCCAGCACCCACATCAAGTGGCTTACAACCGTCTGTAAGTCCAGCTCCAGGGGATCTGATGCCTGCCTTGGGCACCTGCTCATGTGCACAGCCTCCCATGTGCGCGCGCACACACACACACACACACACACACACACACAATTAAAAAATCATAAAAACATTTCCTTTTAAAGCAAAACTTTCCAAAGATGCTTTTATTCACACCGCTTATAAAACAGAGTGTTTATGTCAAAGGATCAGTCAGCAGGGGTGGAGACTTGGGTCCAGGAATGCTGAAGCCTCGAAACCCATCTTAGCACCCAGATTCAGCACAGTTTCAGAATTGAAATAGTCGTCATCGAGTGCCTCCCAGTGGCCGATTCCATTAAGTCGACTTATACTTGATGGGTTGTTCCAGATTCTAACAGTGAAATCAGTTGGATCAGACATGTTGCACATATGGGGAAACAGACTCAGAGACACTTGGAAGACACTAGAATTTCAGCTAGTGTAGTGACTCATGCCTGTAATCCCAGAACTGGGGAAACTGAGGCAGGAGGATTTCCTGGAAGCCCAGGCTGACCTGGGCTACATAGTGAGTTCCCGGCCAGCTTGGAATACAGAGTGAGACCCTATCATAAGCAGATAAATAAACAAAAGAAAAAAATGTGTGCGTGCATATAATCACAGGTCTTGGGAGGTAGAGACAGGAGGATCAAGAATTCCTTTTGGCTATATAGAGAATTTGAGGCCAGCTTGGGCTACATGTAAGACCCCGTCTCAAGCAAGCAAAGAAACCCCAATGTTTTTAAGAGATGACAGATTTTGTATGGATAGTAATTATGATGGTATAGATTTGATTCCCCTAGAAAGTTGGGCGGCAGGAACTGGACGAAGATAAAATCCATGTCTCTCCCTCAGTTTTCCCGGCCATAACAAACAGGTGTAGAAACGGATGATCTCTATCGTCTAAACACAACGGGAACAGGTTGGGTGTCAACCCCAGCGCCTGGGACAGTGCTAGGGACTCAGTAGAGGCTCAGTAAAACATTGAGTCCACACATCGTTGCAGTTCCACAAAAGAACAGCAGGTGACGCGCCAGCCCCGTGTCCGGCTGCGCAGAGCTCTGCGGCTGCGTGCCCCCAGACCCTATTAGAAGCTCTCTTCTCCTTCGCAGAAAAACTCGAATTCTCTCTCCAAGGGGCTTCCGAGTGTCGAATGATGAATGTCGTTCCTTCAGAAAACTGACTTTTCACGTTACAAAAAGTTCTCCTAGTATTGTAACAGCTGGCGCGTTTCCTTGCCGCTTCCTGGTGCTGCTTCCCAGAATGCACGGCATTATGCAAATGAGATGGTTATACAAAGGGAAGTTATTATTCTCACCGCAAGAAAGACTTTGAAAACATTTTTCAGATAAAAAGATAGGAAAAATTATACGGATTTGAACTAATTTTCTCAGGCATTTCACAGAAAATAACCATAAGTAATAAGGAGTTCCATTTTTGAGCTTTATATATGTGTGCAGAGAAGTTGTTCTCTGCCCGGATGATCCTCAGTGGTCTGGGGTGCAGGCTTCAAACCTGTAGCTGTTTAGCGACAGAGTGGTTCAATTCCACCTTTCGGGCGGGAGTATCTCTCCCATTTTCTTCCTCCAAACTATACTCTTTAAGAGTGCTGCTAGCAGAGAAAAAATGTTTATTCTGTTCCTGGTTACTTTGTTTTTCTCCCCCTTAGGAAAATCAGATGACTCAAAAAATGAATTCGTCTCCACAGTTCTAAAGTAGTCCAGATTGGAATTATCTTCCACGTCGTTCTTTCAAATGATTTAAAATCAATCACTTGCTCACTTCGGAGTTTAATCACGCATGCACATATTAATCAGATGTTTGCTCACTCTTAACGAGCACTTGCGACTCAGTTGCTCTGGCTTAGCCCTGTATGTGGCAGAGCTTGGGGTTAGGGTTATGATGCCCACCTGAGCTCTGGTCTCATGAGGCACCAGACAAGCATCAAGCAATCATCTGATAACACATTTCATTAATTCGAAGAAAAAAAATTGGAACCTATAACGACATCGCGCAAGGAGACCAGGGACGCCCTTGATAGATGACAGGGATGAGCTGACAGAAGAAGGAAACTGAGGCTCTGGCAGAGCAGCAGGCCTGTGCTGTCACCATGAATTGTCCTTCCCAAGCTAGCTAATCACAAAGTAGTGTGTTCAAGTTTGCCTGCCCAAGTCTCTTAGCTTTTTCCTGTGCCTCTTTCCAGGCCCTTCTTCAAACCCTCAGCTTCCTCCCCAGTCTCCGTCTTTCTCTTCCAGCCACTCAGCATGGGGGCTAGGAGAGTCCACCTAAAATACCAACCTTTCCCTGCCCCTCTCCTGTTCAAAACCTGCTATGACTCCCTAGTGCCTTCAAGAGACTTTTTGAACTCCACAGGCTAAGAATGTTTTTGTCTCCTCCAGGCTAACCTCTTTCTGCATACCTTACGCTCCAGTCACCAAGAAGCTTTTAGCTTCCTCCTCCCACAACAGATCTCTGCACTTCAACCTGATAGGTAGTTGATGTTGACAGTAACCTTGAACTTCTGATCTTCCCACCGCCACCTCTCCAGAGCTGGAGTTACAAGTGTGCACCACCACATCCAACTTTTTCACATCCTTAATGCCTTAACTCTTGCTCAAGCTATTGGAGATGCAAAGTCCAGAATAAACTCTTTCATTCCCAGACCCTTTGGCGCTTCAGTACCTCACAGATCACATTTTTCCAGTAAGAGGCAGAGCCTGGGAACATGGGAAGTCCTTTTAGGTGTCTGCTTTCTTTCCATCATGCTGTAAACTGATTCATTAGGTGTTCCACTGTTGTGCGTGTGTGTGCGCGCGCACGCGCGTGTGTATGCACATGTGAAATCTCAAGCAGTCTAAACTCACCCTGTCTTGCCGAAAGAAAATAAGACACTTTGTCCTGGTGGGCACATTTTTAAAAGCTTTTTATTGGCGACAGTGCAGAACCAAGGGGTGGGGGAGGGAAGCTGCCCAGTGCTAGACTGCCTCAGCACCCCCCTCCCCCCTGGTCAGGTGCAAAATACAAAAAAAAAAAAAAAAATCACAAATACAGCACAGGTGGGAGGTTGGGGAGTCAATAAATCACGGTTGGCAGGGGCAGGCCCTGCTCCTAGTCAAACTCTCCCATCCAGAGTTCTCAACAATACAGACTGTAAAAATCTACTATCCACCAATCACACTTACATAAAAGAAACTGCATGTCCCCAACGAACCCAGAAGAGAAAGAGGAGGATCAGGGCAAGTGAGAAAAAAAGATAATGTTGGAAATGGTGAGGGAGAAATAACCAGATAAAGGAAAAAGGTAAAAATACTGTCTCCAACAGCGGGGGAGGGGGACAGGGGACAGAATAATAACAAGAAAAAAAGGGCTGGATAGGGACAAGACAGCTGGACAAACCGACTCAAGTTTCCAGAAGCAATTTCCAACTCCACATCACACTTACAAATGATGCTCCCTCTCTCTCTCTTTCTCTCTCTCTCTCTCTCTCTCTCTCTCTCTCACACACACACACACACACACACATACACTCATATATAATATATTTATTTATACATAATAGATATAAGTGCCTTTCAGGAACCAGGGAAAGGATAAATAGCTTTGGGAAGGTCAAGGTAGGGATGGAGAACCCAGGACAGGGGCTTGGAATGCGATCCATGCAGCACGGGGGGGGGCAGGTCCCACCCCCCCAATATTAAAAAATAGAAATTTGACTCATGATGGAATTCTCACGAGGTGAAAGCTGGAGGGAAGGTGGGAGGGAGAGCCAGAACCAATATTGGGGCTGGAGGAATTGGATGGGGTGGGCTAGTGGGAACTCAGCGCCCCCCTTTAAGTATGCCAGTCCAAAAATATTTGGGGGTTCAAATATAAGGAGGAGGGGGACCAAAGCCTCAGCCCTGAAAACTTCTCCAGAAAATGCCTCCATCTCTTTCTACAAGAGGATGCGGGGGCGCCCAGGGCAGGGAGAAGCTGACGTCCTAGGCCTTAGAGAAAAAGCCTGGGGGGGCCTGAGCTAAAGTCCATAGGGACACATCACCATCAACCCCTTTGAGTCTAACTGAAGGGAGGGAGGAGGCAGGTGGAAGGAATGGGAGACCCAGGGAAGGCTTTGAGAAGTGTTTGGGGAGGGGTCATCCCACCCTGCACACCCCACAATCTGGCTGCTCATTCACAGTATAAAGCGCTCCAGCAAGACAGGTGTCGCAGCGCCCCTCTGCCGCTCAAACCCAGAAAGGCCCAAGGAGGGAAGGGGTGTGGCCTAATACTGTACTGGGGGCGGGGCTGAGTGGGGAGCGGAGCTCTGTAGCAAGTGAGAGAAAAAATTCAATCTTAGCCAGTTTTCCCTAGGAAGGAATGGCTGGACCATCAGGAAAGAAAAAAAAAAGGGGGGGGTTCACATTTCAGAATCAATGGCAGAATGGGGGTTAGCTGACTCTCAAAGGGGGCACCAACTTCCCTCAAAGTGGGGGGCTCAATTCAATTTGGCCCAAAGGAGGTTGAAACCTCCAGAGGGAGGATCTGCCAGAGGGAACAAAGAGAGCTAGCCTACTCTACCCTTCACCCTAGAGGGTAGGTGTGGGAAAGAGAGGTGGGGGACAGGCCTGTCATTTCCTCTTTGGGCCTTTCTGGGGTGCAAGCCAGCCCACCCTGCACCCTACACCCAGCATCCTTTCCCTTCCAGCCTCACATGAGATGCCCAAAGTGGGCATCATACTCCACCCACCCACCCACCCATCCATCCCCAGAAGTTGGATTGCAGAAGACACAACAGACATCTGGAGGAGGGGGTGTCCACCCCTGTCCCCACCCTCTGTCCTCAAAGTCATCAGCTCTCCAGAGCCAACAGAAACCAAAGACGGATCACAAAACACAAGTCAGGTCCTCTCCGTCCTGTCCCATGGCAGAGGCCGCAGAGGGTCAGGCAGAAGTCAGGGGGTGCACAGCTCCCCCACTTGCCTCTTCCTCCTCCTCCTCCTTCAGGGTTCATGTCTCTCTCCCTCGCTTGTTTGTTTGTTTGGTTTGTCTAGAGAGCTCACAGAGCCAGGAGGGAGGGCGAGTTGAGGGGGTCAGAAGGCTGATCGCTGCCGCTGGGGCGTTGGGCGCCGGCGAACGCGGAGACCTCCGGGCACGTGAGCACAAACGAAGAAGTGTACGAAGGGTTAACAACGGGGAAGGGGTCGCCGAGGACTTGAACTTCACTGTGTGTAAAGAGAGAAGCCGTCAGGTTGGGGGGTGCGTCTTGGCTGGTCTGGAAGGGCAGGGGCGGTGGTGGAGGGGGCGGCAGCAGCCAGCCGAAGCCGTCTTCCTTAGCGGATGCTGACCCTGGCAAATCTCTCACCTCCGCCAGTGGGCCTGGCCCCGGCCCCTCTTCGTAGGGGATCTTGCAGCCTGGTTTGTGGGCCACGAGCACAAACTCCAGGCGTTCTTTCTCCTTTTGGAGCTCGGCGATCTCCGACTCCAATTCTGCTTTTTCTTCTTCTAGCTGATCTGTCTCCTGATGGACCCCAAGATGCCAGGCCGGGTCATAGGAGAGATCGAGAAAAGGACAAATCATGAGTGATCACAGAAAGTGGCTGGTGATCCCCCAATTGTATAGCTGCTGAGCCCCGGGGGCTGGACAGTGCCTATAGAGAGAGCCTCCAGGTGGGCTATGGAAAAAGCTACTGAGAGAAAGCCTCCTGGTGGGCTATGGAAAAAACTCCTGAGAGAGCCTCCCGGGAGCCTCAGTTTTCCCTATCTGGCCAAGAGAGATTTGGGAAGAAGCCAGATATGCATGGACATCTCTGATGCCTGTGGTGGTGCACACCTGCAATCCCAGCACTCAGGAGGCTGAGCCAGGAAGACTGCTGAGGGCTTGAGGACAGCCTGGACTAAAGACTAAGAGTCTGCCTCAAACAAAACAAAACAATAGAACAACATGGGGGTGCTGCTGAGACGGCTCAGTGGGTAAAGGCACTTGCCATCAAGCCTGACAAACTGAGTTTGGTGAGTTTGGTCCTAGGACCCACATGGTAAAAGGAGAGAACTAACTCCTGCAAGTTGTTCTTTGACCTCCACACATGCTGTGGCACACGTGTACACACAGAAACATACAAAAATAAATAAATTAATTTTTCTAAATGAAAAGAAACCAATAATTAATTCATTAATTTCTAAAATTTTTAAAGGAAAGGGGGGAAAAGGCACTCAGGTTTTTCAAGTGAATAAGCAACTATAAACAACCATTGTGTTTTGTTTTTAGTGTGTTTCTGTTATCCCTTCCCTTCCACCTCCGAGTAGGAAAGCAAAGTCTCAAGGACAACAGGATAAAGGTATTGGGATGTGGTGGTGCTCCTCTTTATATATTTTATTTATTATTTTTATTTTATGTGTATGTGTGTATTGCTTGCATGTATGTGAGTGCACCCGTGGAGGAGGTCAGAAGAGGGCTTCACATTCCCCTGGAACTGGAGTTAGGACAGTTAGTAGCTGCCATGTGGGTGCTGGGAATTGAACCCGAGTCCTCTGCAAGAGCAGTAGTGCTCTTAACCGCTGAGCCATCTCTCCAGCCCCAGCGGTCCTCTTTAATTCCAGAACTCTGGAGGCAGAGGCAGGAGGATCTTTGGGAGATGGAGGCCAGCCTAGTCTACATAGTAAATTCCAAGCCAGCTGGGGCTACAAGGAGATCCTGTCTTTAAAAAAAACAACAACAAAAAAAAAAAACCCAAAACCCAGAAAAAAACTAGATACAGATTCTCCAGATTGTTCTAGACAGAGGGAACCTGATATTTGACAAGGGGAGGAACAGAGGCAGAAAAAGGTTTATTTTCTGCCAAGAAGTAGAAGAATTCTTCAACTTGTTCTGGGATGGTGGAAAGCCAGGAGGGTGGCACGTCGGGACATAAGAAGGGGAGGGGTCAGAAGTAAGCAGGGCGGGTCTAACGGGAGGTAAGCACCGAGCCATCCCGTCAGTCCACACTGCCCCACATTCCCTATGTGGAAATCCTTGTTCAAGGACACTGACCCAGTGGGCAATGGGGGGCAGAGCAAGGCAGAGTGCCCCTTCAGCACAGCCTCACACCACCCCAGGACCCCTCCTTACCGCCTGAAGTCGGTCTGTCAGCTCCCTCCGACGATTTCTGCATTTAGCTGCAGCTAGCTTGTTTCGCTCCCGGCGAACTCTTCGCTTCTCTTCTTCCTCTGGGGTCAGCTGAGTCAAAGAGAAGGAGACTATGAGGTTTGGGGTTACCCTCTGCCATCCCTGCCCAAACTCCTCTTCCTCTAGAACCCCCAACTACAAACCCTCTACTCCCTGTTGGCAGGATGGATAAGGTTTACTGCAATCCTGAGGTCTCAGTGGACGCCCCCCTCCATCTCTCAATAGTGACCAAGTTCCTGGATCTCTTGCTTCCCCCATTTCCAGGCTAATTACTTTTTGTGAGTCATGGTCTCATGTAGCTCGGGGATAGCCTCAAACTCAATATATAGGTAAGGTTAGCCTTGAACTTCTGGATCCTCCTGCCTCCACCTTCTGAGTGCTGGAGTTATAGGCTTGCACAACCACTCCTGGTGTGTGCAGTGCTGGGGATGGAACCCAGGGCTTCATGAATGATAGGCAATCACCCTACCCATCGAGCCACAACCTGGGCCCCTCCAGGTCAACTTCTGAGGCATCATACTCACCGTCTCTTCTCGGGGTCTTCTAGGCCGGGCTCGGGCTGGGCGGGTAGGCCCAGGTCCACTGGAGGTTGCACTGGTTGAAGGCCCACCACTTCCACTAGCGCCACCACTGCCATAGGCACTCAGGCCTGGTGTGGAGTAGCTGGTCCCTGGCATGTCGTAAGGGTCAACGGCTGGGGGCTGGGAGGCCAGTGGCTGCCCCTGAGACTGAGCCATAGAAGAGATGAGGGTGGGTTGCACGAGCCACTGGAGGTCCTGGCTGGTTGTGATCGCCGTGACCGTAGGCACGAAGGAGCCGGGCATTTCCCCGAGACCGGCGCACTCCTACGGGGTGAGACATACACACACAGGCGTAGACACACAAACAAAGCCACCAACACACACACGCCCAACACACATAACACACACCGACCCCTGTGAGTGAGCACAGGGTGAGCGGGTGTGGATGTGTGTCACAGGCAAAAAGCCACAACACCCACCCTTCCACTACACCGTGACGCAGTGGTTAATGAAAGGATTTCTGCTCAACTGCCTTCTACCTCCTCCTGCTTCCTCGGGGGAAAAAGGTTGCCCGGTTCCAGCGGGTGGTGAATCACACCCCGGCTTGGTGACTCTTAGGTGTGGGGGGGTGTGGAGGCTGGACAGAGCCTGGTGACAGAACTCCCCGGGATGTAGACACACACACACACACACACACACACACACACACATACACACCCCCCCCCCCCCCCCCCCCCCCCCCACACACCACGGGAGAGGGGCCACAGCCCCACTTGGCGGGTAAGAAGGTCAGTGCAGACGTGGTGAACTCCTGAAGGGACCTCAGGGGCTTTGAGGCGCTACACACACACACACACACACACACACACACACACACATACACACCCCACCCCACCCCACCCCCACCCCAGAAGCAGAAGGGAGAGAGGCCTTAGCCCAAGTCACTCACACACAAACACACCCCCCACTGTACGAGGTCTCCCGCAGGGGGCGGAGATCCCAGTTCCAAGGGTGTTGGGGGACGGGCCTAAAAGAGCCCTGAGCATCCTTCCCCTTTATCTATCCCTGAGACTGACGAGTGACAGGTTAAAGTGGACAGACAGGTAGAAAAAAAAAAGTGACATCTGGGCTCCCTCACACTGTCACGCAGGGGAGTAGTGGCGGTGGTATAGGACCTGCGCCCCCAAATCCAAGAAACATCCCCCCCTTTCCAAAGTGGAATTCTGGAATTGCTCCGGAGGCTTTAACTACTCTCTCTGGGGGCGTGGCGAGGGAAGGGCTGGCTCGCTAGCCAATCAGCATTCTGGGAACCCATAGAGGGCGGAGCTCCTGGGGACCACCTGGCTGGTTCCCCTCCGACTAGCGGATCTAGGGTGGTTTCTGCACACATCGAAGGGACCCGTGGTCCAGAGCAGGGGGAACGTGTCTGTGTGTCGGCAGAGGATGGTGACGGCCACTAGGTCTTCAAAAGATTCTCCAGCACACAGACAAGACACCTCCCGCTTTGGAGAGCAGAGAGAACCGAGGTCCCCACCAGGGTCCTCCTTAAACCCTAGATCCCAGAGAGTCGCCCCTGACCGCTCCACAAATCTCTTCCCTCGGCTTCTAGAAGCTGTTTAAAGAGACTCCAGCGCCGAGGAACCTCGGGTTCCGGGGCCGCGGAGAGCGGGGAAGGGAACTGGGCTCTCCAAATAGGAAGAGAACGTTGATTGGCTACCGCCCGCTCCGAGACAGCCAATCAGAAAGCAGGGCTGCCCCCTCCCTTAGCAACGTGGCCTCGGCGTTCCAAAATAGAACGCTCCCAGGACGTCAGGGGCGGGGCGGACGGAGGGGGCGCGCGCCGTGCGTGCCCCGCGTCAGACGGAGGATTCCAGCGCGTCAGCCGTTACGCACAGGTCCCCCGTTACGTCTCGGCGCAGGAGGCGGAGGCAGCGTGGCCGAGAGTTCGAGGCCCGTTTTCCCGCTGGATGCAGGGCGACCCGGGCGCCGGAGTCGACACTCGGAAGGAGGGAGGACGCTATTGGAAGCTTCTCAGGGATTTTCCTTTTTAATTCCCTCCACTTTGCCTAGCTCCAAGTTCGGGAACCGAACCCAAATAAAGTTCTCAGCCTCTGCCAACCACTGCATACACGTTGCATCTAGCATCCCAGCTCGCTTCCACCCGCCGCCCTAATGCCTGGCCCTGCTGCATGTCCTTCCCGCGCTCCGCGCACTCCGGTTACAAACAAACATTTCCCGATTCTTTGCAATTAAAAAAAAAGTGTAATCTGTGCCTCTTGCTCCCCCAGATCCTGTTGTTGTTGTTGTTGTTATTATTATTATTATTATTATTATCATTATTATTACTAATTTTGATGCGGCTGTATCCGAGAGGATGCTCAATCCACACTCTAGAAAAAGTGATTTTTCGGGACCTCCAAAGTAGCATCTTTGCAGTCTAGAACTTACCTGGGAGGCGGCGGCGGTGGGTGGACTGCCGAAGGAATCCACCGAAGACAGATACTGAGACTCGGCGGAGGGTGAAGAGCTACACCGGGAGCCGGAGTCGTAGTCTCCGGGGAAAGCTTGAAACATTTCCCTGGGCACAGGGGGTACCCTGTGACCACGCTGAGGTCGCCGGGAAGCCAAGGCTCTGGCCGGGTGGGATGCGATGCGAGTCCGGAGTGAACCGGACAGGTCCCCCAAAGTGCGCTGTCCGAGGGGATGCGGGGAATCCGCGTCCCTCTGCGAGAATAACCAAAGTTTGGATGCAAAGTCCCCTGTGCAGCGCCTGAGGTCCCCCACACAACACTTCTGTACCTCCTCAGAGTCCAGGCTCCGTGGGAATCAGCGGGGCGACAAGGGGATCGCTCCCCCGCCGAGGCCCGCAGCGCCGTCCCGCCGTGCAGAATTCACTTCGGAGTGCAGTTCCCTTTTCCCTTACAGGCGTCCGGTGGGTCCCACAAAAAAAGAGGGGAGTGGGTGTGGGGGGCCAACGGAGCGATCCAAAAGAGGACCAAAAAGTAAGTCGATCCTCTGAAAGCAAACGAAGAAATATCTAGAAGTCTTCCAAAACAGAAACCCACGAAACTTTCTCTCCGGGAAGAAGAATGTGTATAATTGTGTCCACCGCCTCCAAGAAGAAGAAAAAGAAGAATGACAAACAATCAAGTTCCCGAGTCCCGGCTCCTTGTGTCTCTGGCGTGGCGGCGGCTCTCCAGTCTTATGAATGAAGCTGGGAGCCGCCAGGCTGCATTTATTCGCCCGGGGCCCGCCCCCCCCTGCTTACGTCACCGCCATCTCCCTCTACAAACATCCCAAAATCTCCTTTTCGGGGCCACCGAGCCCCTCGAGGTTTCTCGAGAGGTCGTGCCCATCCTCCATTTACCCATCGGGGGAACCCTGGGGTCCTGGGGGTCTCCAAAGCTGCGTTCCGGGAGGGGATCCCGCCCCGCCTTCCCCGGAGTTCCTGTGACGCAATTAGCCATATAAGGAGCTCGGCCTCGCCAGCAGAGTGTTTGTTTGGTATCCTAGCAATGACGTCAGAGGGAATCCCTCGCTCCCGCGCGCGCCCGCCGCCGCCGCGCTGTGCGGAACCCGCCCGCGCCTGCGCAGTGCCACGCCGGCCCGGGGGCTGGGATTGACAGGCGTTTGAACTCCCCGGGACAGGCCCCTTGCTGACCCCGAGCTGGGAAAGGAACCCCTACACCCCCAAATAACCAGATCCCTCGCGCCTCCGTCCTCCCCAGAGCTGGTCCAGCGCCCCCATTGGAGAACAGCTGTCCCCAAAATTCCTGATGAGAGTGTGTATTCCACGTAAGCGGGGAAACTGAGTCTCGAGTGTGGTTGGAGGGGCTGTGATGCTCTAGGTATATGCAGAAGTGAGGTTGGAGAACACCCCCCCCCAGCCCCATCCCACATCCTACCCTGACTCTCTGAGCTTGGAAAAGGTCCCCTTGAGCTAAAACTTTCGTCTCAGCTGAACAAAGCTGGGTGCTTTGGCTAGGGCTGGCTTCCTAGGGGTTCCAGCACCTGGGCGGAAAGCAGGATTTGGGGGGATGGAGACTGACACTCCGCGAAGTTTCCCAGCTGATGGTGTAGGTATCTCTATTATTCTACCCAGAGACAGAAAGGAACGTGTGTAATTAAGAACAATTATAATGCTTGGTGTCATGTGTTTAGCAATCAGAGAATATCAGATCCAATGTAAGCTTTTTAATCCTTCCAACTTTAAAAGTTAAAGGGAAAATATCTTCATAAAAGAGGGCTTAGTGGTGCACTTTTTTAAACCCAGCGCTGGGGAGGCAGAGGCAGGCGGGTCTCTAGGTTAGCCTGGCCTGCATAGCAAGTTCCAAGCCAGGCAGGCCTACATAGTGAGAGCCTGTCTCAAAAGAGAGAGAGAGAGAGAGAGAGAGAGAGAGAGAGAGAGAGAGAGAGAGAGAGAACTAAGAAAGAAGGAAAGAAAAAGAAAGAAAGGAAGGAAGAAAGAAAGAGGTGGCTCAGTGGCTAAGGACACTTACTGCTCTTCTAGAGGACCCTAGTTTGGTTCCCAGCACCCAGGGCATCTGACACCATCTTCTGGTCTCTGTGGGCACCCACACCCACACACATGCATAAGTAGAAAAAGAAAAAAATGAATGATTAAAAAAAAGCATCAGTGAAAGGGCTCAGCTGGTAAAAGTGCTTGCCCAACACCCTGCGTTTCATCCCCTTAGGGACTCATGGTGGAAAGAGAACTGACTTCCAAAAATTGTTCTCTGACTTCCACACATGCACCACCGTGGCACATGCACACGCACACCCACACTCTCACAGAATAATAATAATAGTAATAATAATAATAATTTTAAAATAAAGGGAAAATGAGGGCTGGAGTGTAGCTTAGTGGTAGAATGCATGCCTTGCCTAGCATGTTCCTGGGTTCCTGGAAGTCCTGGGTTCCATCTTCAGAACCAAAAAAAGAAAGGGAGGGAGGGAGGGAGGAAGAAACAGAGGAAGGGTGGAAGGAAAGAAAAACAAAAAAGAAAATGCCATTTAGAGAGGTTAATTGACGTTTAAGAGCCCAAGGACAGGGTGATTCTGAACACTCGGGAGAATTTAGATTCTCTGCTCCAGTAATGAGGTGGAAGCCAGGCATGGTGGTGTTCTCCTTTAATCCCAGCACTCAGGAGGCAGAGACAGTGGCTTTCTGTAAGATCGAGGGCAGCCTGGTTTGCATAGTGAGACCCTGCCTCCAAGGAGCAGAAACACAAACCCAATAGTGGGGAGAGGGTAGAGAGCCATAGTGAAGCTAGAGGGACATGGGGAAGTGATGGTGACAGTAGGCGACCATAGAGATTTCCAGACGAAGCCTCACCTCAAACCACCCTCTACCTGGTCCCCTACACCCCCTCTGTCTGACCCAGTCGGGAGGGAGGGACAGAATTCAGGGATGACAGGGCAGCCACCAGCCAGCAATGACTCGGCCCTGGCATCAGACAGGGAGTGACCCTTTAGTGTCCTGCCCCAAGCCTCTCAAGTCCTACACAAACACCCACTCCGGCTGCCCCAAGGTCCTCAGACCCCAACACGGGTGGCCTGGATAGCCACAACAGCAGCTACTCAGACATCTGCCCACAAGCAGCAACCCACGGTCACCTGGGGCAGATTCACAGACACACACTTGCACGGAGGAGACACTATCACCTGTCATCACCTTATATGACAAGCATCCTTACACACAGGGAGATAAAGAGGCCAGCTACCCAATGAAGCAGGAACACACCCAAAACACAGGGACCACTGGATTTTGCTACTGATTTCCATAGACATTTGGGCTCATATACACACACATACACACAGATACACACAAACACACACACCAACACACACAGACACAGACATACAGCACAGACACACAGACACTCATAGACCCAGACACTCATAGACACACAGACACACATAGACACAGACACACAGACACACAAATAGACACGGACACATAGACACACACTACACCTACACCACCAAAAATCAAGACACTGATGGCCAGATGTGACAGTGCAGATCTGTAATCACAGCACTCAGAAGATAGAGGCAGTAGGGCCAGGAGTTCAAGATCATACTCTAGCACTACCACCGCAGTCAGGTCAAGGCCAGCCTGGGTACAAAAACAAGATCTTATCTCCAAAAACAAAACTCTTATTAACTTCTTAATTCTCAGAATGTTCTTAAAAGTGGAGCTGAGAACTGATGCTATTCATAGGTGATGGATCAGGAGCTCTAGTGATGAGGTCACAGGGTAGGTACAGGGCGGACCTGGGCTAAGCGCACAGGGATAGGGACTTTGGAGTCTATGCATGGCATTACTATGTAATAAGTCTGGGCTGGTGGGATGGCTCACTTCGTAAAGTGCCTATTGTCCAGTCTGACAACCTGAGTTCAGTTCCCCAGACCTACATGGTGGAAGGAGAGAACTGACTCCCAACACACAAGTGGTATAACACACACATGCGCGCGTGCGCGCACGCACGCACACACATGAACCCACACAAAATAAATAAAAAGGGCCTGGAGTGGTGATATACACCTTTAATCTCAGCACTGGAGAGGCAGAAGCAGGTGGATCTCTGTGAGATCAAGGTCAGCCTGGTTTGCATGGGAGTTCCAGGACAGCCAGGGTTATATAGCGAGACCCTGTGCCCCTAAAAATAAAAAAAGTTTTAAAACTAAGTTTATGTGTAATATATTCATACATGTGAATGGTCTCTGCCCCTCTCCAGATGGCTGTTTCCTATTTTTTTTGAGACAAGAATTCACTATGTAGTCCAGGCTGGCCTCCAACTCACACAGATCCTCCTGCCTCTGCCTCCCCAGTGCTAGGATTAAAAGTTTGCACTACCATGCCTAGCTGTTTTTGTGTTTTCTGACAGGGTCTTACTCCATAGTCCAGGCTAGCCTTGAACTATGGGCGATCCTCTTGCCTCAGCTTCTCAAGTACTGGTATTACAGGTATATTCTACTATGCCAGTCTTGGGTGCTATTAAAATGAAGCAATCCTGACCTTTAGACATACAGAGGCCTCAGGGCTTCCCTTGGCCCAACCTCTGTTACTGTGTTCCTCAGTTTCCCCATTGGGCAAAGTAAGAAATCTGAATGACAATGGTCTCTGAAATTCACTGAAAAAAAGGGGAGGGGTCTGCCTTGGGAAGCTATGGCAGTCAGTCAACCCCACACCACATCAGCCCTGGAAATAGGCTACCATTGTGCAGAAGAGGAAACTGAGGCATCGGGAGATGAGGCCTGAGAATAGGGCTTCCGGATCATCGATGTGATTCTGAATCGCAAAACCATTAGGTAAAACTACGGAGTCCAGAAGGCGTCTTTAGCACTTCCCAGAAGCCCTTGTACCACACCCCAGCCTTGGCTCCAAGGACCCCTGTGAGCAGCAAGGTGTTTTGGGGGCTTGAGAGAGGGCTTGCTCATGGGGTTGTATGTGTGTCCCTATCCCACCACCCTGCCCCCCCACTCCATCTGTTGTAGTAACCTGCCCCCCTTGGAGTGTAGCACTGAATTGGCTAGCTGGGCTGTTCTCCATGAGCAATCCTGAAGGGCCTCCTAGGGGTGGTATCTGTGGAGTTTCAGGGGGACATGATCTATGAGATCTGGTGGTGCCCTCTGCGCCAGCCTTGCTCTGCCTCTGGTTCCAATCCTGATGCTCAGGTACTTCCAGGCCTCTGCCTGGAACATTCTTCAGGGTTTCTTGGGCTCCTATAGCTTCCATGATCTGAGACTGAGCCAGGGCCCCTCCTCGGACCATGCAGGTCCTCTCGCATAGGGCTGGACTGTGACTGTGTGTAGGTCACTGTTGTGTTCCCAGAACAGTGCAAGCATCTGTAGGTGTTTCATAAATTTGTGGTAAGTAAATGAATCTTCACTTTTTAAAATTTTTTTCCTTGTCTGTTTTGAGAACAGGGTCCCCCTATAGCCACAGCTGGCCTAGAACTCAAAATGTAGACCAGGCTGGCTTCCATCTCACAGAGATCTACCTCTACCTCCCTAATGTTGGGATTAAAGGCATGCACCACAACACCCAGCTTTATTTTAATATACACCTATGTTTTGTTGTTGTTGTTGTTGTTGTTGTTGTTGAGACAGGGTTGTCCTATAGCATCCAAATGGCCTGGAACTCACTATGTAGACCAGGCTGGACTTGAACTCACAGATATCCACCTGT